GCCAGTTTTAGTTTTTGAGATTGGGGGGTCAAGGCCAAAAGGGGGGGGGGCGGGGGGGGTGGTAAAGAAGGGGCGATGAACGAAAAAAGTGATTTAACCCATGGGAATCAGCAAAAAAGTTATAGGATTTTTTGTGGGGAGCATGACGACCACTCGCAGAAGACACCCCAGCAACGATCGAGCATTCCGCCCCGTCCCCACCCCAGCACCCCAATTTTTTGTTCTTTTTTGCCCTTGGGGAACAGGGTGCCAGGGACCCTTTTTCACCTTTTGGGGGTTGCAGGGGGTTTCCCCCCCCCCCTCCCCCCGGCCTATGTGCCCCCCCCCCCTCCTCCTACAGTACGCCCCAGTAGCCTCCGCGGGTAGTGGTTTTGTTAGGGGTTAGGGGATAGGGATACGAAACCTCACTCTCTACAAGTATTTCAGTACGAAGTAAAAAACTAACAAAAAAGTCCTCGCCAAGGCGGTTCTTGCTATGTGCTCACTCACCTCCTCGGCGTTGTAGCAGGACATGTGCACGGCGACGCAGCACCGTTCGCAGAACACGATGTCCTCCTTGTTCTCGACGTGGTCCCCGCTGTTGCAGACGTAGCACACCGCGATGTCCTCCTCCTTCTTCCGCTTCAGCTCCACCTGGTTCTGCTTGCTCATCCTCGCGGCGACCTCGGCCTTCGCCTGCCTCTCTCTCTCTTCCAACTGTAGGAGACCATCGACAAGGAGTGTTGGTATAGATTTAAGGGAGGCACGCACCCAGTAAGAGAGTAGTGTTGTTATGAACCTACGGGAGAGACGGGACCCACTAGAGAGTACTGTTGGTATGAATATAAGGGAGGCACGCACCCACCAGAGAGAGATGGTGAGATCTGGCGACTTGCTAATTGTTAATTGTTAATGTGCTCGTCTCCCCCCCTCCCCCTCCCCCAGGCGGGGCCCCTTCGCGGGAAACTCTGTTCTAACAGGCCCGGCTGCGGGTAGACACTGTAGGCCTTACTCCACCAGTTGGGATTGTCGGCGGTGGGTGGGCGCGGAAGATGGCGACGGTTTGTATCTACACACGAAGATTTCTTTGCTATCGTTGTCCTCTGCGTTGTCTCACAGTCTAGCGTCGTCCTCAACGCCTCACCCCCCCACCCGTAACTGTTGCTCCTCCCCGCTGTGTCGATTCGAAATCGTAAAAAAAAACACAGCGCAGCGGCGCAAAGCTTACCGGTTCGTACGCTCGGAGCGTCTTCTCCCGAAACGCTATCCGTCTCGCCTCCTCGGGGGAGTCCTCGTCGTAACGGAACTCCTCGACCGTTGTGGCGATCCTCTGCAAAGTCGATGCCAATGCCAACTCCACCTGTCACGCGAGTGTTCACGCAGACCAAGGGGGGAGCGAACCAGGATGCGGGCCACGGCATGACACGGGTGAACAAATAGGCAACCGCGGGTGCAGCTAATGGTTTTGTGCTTGGAGGTCGACGCACGCAAGGATTGGGGGGGAGGGTGACGGGAAGGTAACATGGTGTTGTCATAGAGGTCGGCTTTCACGCGGCAGCAGCCGCAAAATCAACCGCGCGAACTCCCGAACCACAACATGAAGGAAATTGCGAATCAATTCAACGACCACACTACTGTACGCGCATTAGAGGGCCCTTGACAGTGTGGTGGAGTCGTGATCATGCCATGTGGTACGCAAACCCGAGTCACAGCAGCAGCAGTTGCACATCCCGATGAAAAAAATACAAAAAACTGTCTTGTTGAGCCTGTTACCCACAATGGGAGATGTCGCTGTGTGCTGCTCGGGAAATCGTGGAAATACAGGTCGCCTCTGACGCTATGATGGATTCATTGCTAATCTATCTTAGACTCCTTTCTCAGATAGAGATGGATTCGTTGTGTCATATTAAGAAAAAAAAACAAAAAAAAACAAGACAGCCTGTTTAGATACCTGTTGTAACTCTTCGTCGCACTGTCCGAGCTCGTCTTCCACTGTCTTCGCACCCCCCTTCCCCGCCGCCGCTGCCGCCTCATCCTCTACTCCGCCCCCGCTCCCGCCCCCGTCCTCTCCCTCACCACCGCCTCTTGGCGGCTGCTGCGAGGCTTTGCACCCCTGCCTGTTGGGTGTCGGTGAAGTAGCCCGGTGCTGTTGGATGGTGCTGCAGGAGCCATCCCGGTCGCCGGCGGCCTGCCACCAGGGAAACCGTCGGGGCAGAGCGCCGCAAAGAAAAACATGAAATCATGCTTGGGTTGGTGCGACGTCGGCAGCAGCTCACATCATGTATTTGGTATAATTTATCAACCGAGAGTAAGAAAGAATGCCCCATGGTCGGTACTTGTTGCGTGCAAACACAACGTTCGGAAAAATATCTTTGCATGTATTCTTCATGTGGTCTGCGGCAGCTCGTCCAGCCGCACACTCGTTATTTTAGGTTATTAATATTAGTCCCTTCTCCAAAAAACACAAACACGACACAGAGGAAATCACCCGCCCCGCACACTTGGTGACACACACGCAGCATGTGATACGGCCGATAGCCTCAGTGTCGGAGAAGCATGCGTGTCATCTGCGTTCTCAACTCCCACTCTTGCTCCCTCTGGGATGCATCTTAAAGTTCATTCGGAGATGTCTCCGAAATCGAGCCACAAGTTTAGTCAGCAGCCAACGGTTGTTGTGCGTGCACATGATGGAGGAACAACGTGTATTTTAGGCCCCCGCTTCAACACGTAAAATATGCAAAGGGACGACCGCTTTTCAGTGTTCCAAAGGGCCCCTCCTCTCCCACTGTCCATGTCTTGACCCTAACCCGCTATAGTGGGGAGGAGCGTGCTCTGACCTCTCTACTGCTGTAGTATGCACAGAGAGGAGCGTAGTTGGTGAAAATGAGATCCGTATATTTGAAGTCATTTTGACCAAACATGGTGGAAAAAGAGACGAAAATATCAAAGAGAATAAAAAAAAACAACAGAGACGAAACCGCTGCCTCTCTCCGCTGCTGGCTGCTGGTGCTGTCGTGAACCTGTGTCGTGCTGACGTGTGTATAAACTCTCCGCCACAGCTCACTCTCAACCAACACATAAGGAACAGGGAGAGCGAGAGAGATTGAGCTCATCGACGGCGCCCCGGTAGCGTGCCAGCCCTCCGTATTTTGGAAGCAAAAGCACACACAAACAGCCATTTTGCCGACCGCACCAGCGGTGTTCAGTGAAGTAATTTACATAGCAGCAGACGGTATTTTTTCGCCCCTCTATTTTTCATACAAAAAAAACTCTCGGCCGATTCTCCTTACCAGCAGAAACTCTCTCCCCTCTTCCCTCACCTTCTGGCGATGGATCGATCCACAACCGCCGAAGGCACTGGCCGCGCCGGCGCTGCAGCCGCCGCCGCCCTCCGCGACGGCAGGCGGCGGGGGCATCTTCTTCGTGTACCGGCGCAATCTCGAGTGTCCCACCAGGGCATCGAGCGTGAGGACGGAAGTGTCTGGCAGATTTCGGAGTACGGTATCGGTGCCTCTCCAAACATCTTCGAGGGTGGGATGCGCCGGCACCCGGACCTTGACGCCCCACCCGGCCAGCCGATCCAGCACCTTGGCGATGCTCGCCTCTGTCGCCACGGGCCTCGGCTTCATGCTCGGCTGCCCCCTTCCGCCGCCGCCGCCGCCGCCGCCGCCGCCGCCCGCGCGGGTCTGCTCTGACTTGAGAGGCCGGACCGCTGCGGTCTCTTGCTTGAGCTTGCCCCGCTTCTTTGCTCCCCTGCTGCTCGCGCTCCTTCTTTTCGTCTGCTGCTGCCTGTGGTTCCCGCTGCCACCGCCGCCGCTGCCTTCGGCGCCGCCAGCTGCAGAGGCACTTCCCCCCCCGGCCTCGAAGTTGGGAGTCCCTCCCTCCTCGGCTATCGCAGCCTCTAGTTCTGTGCCCTCTCCTCCTTCGCCCTGGTGTGTTGATGCCTCTTCGCCTTCGCCTGCTGGCGCCTTGTTTGACTCTCTCTGCTGCTGCTGCTCCTGCTCCTGCTCCTGCTCCTGCTGCTGCTGCTGCTCCTGCTGCTCGGAGTCCACCACGCCCCCGCCGCTCTGTACCGCGCCCGTTAGCGCCAGGGAACGGAACACGTGCTCCGCCTTGCTTGCCGCTGCTCGCTTGGGTCGACCTGAGGGTGCCGTTGTCGGCGTGGCCGATACCATCGCCTCGCTAACTGAACGTGTTTTGTGATCGAAACAAGACCGAAAGCGAGCAGGCAGAGAGACCATCATTTTTTTGTCAAGTTTTTTTTTTTTAATCCCGCCGCACTTTGCTGCGACAGCTCCCTTTGCCGCTCTGTGTGTGTTCATGATGATTATTTTTCCCGAAAAATTTGAAAAGAGGGAATCTACGAGGTACTGCTGTACCCCTACCGACAACTACCGAAGAGGCTGGTAGCCGCTAGCCCGCCACCGGTGACTTCGGACGGGGCACGCATCAATCCTGTGTGTGTTCGCCCTGCGTGCTCTCCCCACGTGTATAGCGCGAGACAGCCAACTCCTTTTCCCCAACTCTCAACGGGAAAGGCGGGGTTTTGGTTGGTTCGCTCGCCGTTCGGTCCTTCGAGTTCCTCAAGACACGACCGAAGCACCGAAGCACCCCGACTCTCTTGCGACAGCACGTCAGCAGGGGCTTGGATACATATACCCTGCTGCTGCTGGGAACCAGACCGGACGGAGAGGGGGCCCAGAAGTTGCGTGTGACGAGAGCGGGATAAGGGCTGGTCGTGAAAACCTGTGAAAACTGGCCTCTGTCGTGCCTGCTGTCATACACAACCTCTTGCGAGACCTGCGGCGGAGAGAGCGAGAGGGAGAGACAGAGCAGGGGCAGGAGCTCGCTGCTGCCGACCACCGCTATCGCGCACCCCTGCTTGCTGTAGTGTGTGTGCACCCTGAGCAGCACCCGAGCGGGAAAGAAAGAAGCGAGAGCGAGAGCGAGCCCGGCCGCTCGGCTTTTTTCGGGTCAGTCAGCTGCGGCGCTACTACTGCTGTGTCGCTCAGAGACCCCGAAACAAACTACTGCTGTACTCGTCGTACTACAAACAGGTGTGTCGACTGCGTGGTTGTAGTGTGTGTGTGTGTGATGGGGCCACCCGCAGGAACGGCATCATCAGCCCGTCGCCATCCCACAGAGGGGCGACGCAAGGCGGCTGCGGCAACAGTGCCTCGGCCTGTGAGGGGCAAGAGGGACGCAGGGTTCCGGAGGAGGCCAGAAGGAAGGCCAGCCACTGCCGCCGCCGCCGCTGCCGACAGCAGTAGCGGCGGCGTGAGAGGCAGCAGCAGCAGTCGAGGCCGGAATCAAAACACCGGAGGGGGGGAGGCACCGACTCTACGAACCAGATGCAACCGCACTTGCAGGAGCACCGCCGGCAACGCCAGCAGCAGAAGCGTCGCTGATGCCGTCAAGGCATCCTCCTCCTGCTCGCCGGCTTCCGCCTCAACCGCCACCACGGATGATACGACGTGCCGCGCCAGCGGCATCAGCAATAACGGCCGTGTGACTAGAGCAACAGCAAGAGCCAAGACGAACGTTAGCCCCGGTCGGGCGCCGTCAGCGGAGCAGGAACAGCAGCAGCACGGCAAGAAGAAGAAACACCGCCGCAGGGTTGCGCAGGGAAAGGAGGAGGAGGAGGAGGAGGAGGAGGAGGAGGAATCAGATTCGGTAGCAGCACCACCACCTGCGATCATGACGGCTCCGACCCACCGCCGGCTACCGCGGAGAAAGGCGGCGGCGGTGGCGGTCGCCAAGTTCACGTCGACTCTCAAACTCGAGGAGCAGGAGGAGGGGAAGGAGGAAGCACAAGAGGACGGAGCGGCACTGCAGCAGCGGCGACGTCGACCTCAGCGTGGCGAGGGCGGCGCACCTGAGGAAGAGGCGGAGGAGGCGGAGGAGGAGGAGGAGGAAGGAGACCGAGTGAAGGCAACAAACAAGAAGAAGAAGAAAAAGCAGCATCGTGAGCGGCAGCAGACGCCTAAGGAGAAGCAGCAGCAGATGGACCGTCGAAACACCCTGCGGGTGGCAGAAGACAAGAGGGACGCGTTCACTTCCGGGCTGCTGGCGTGTCTGAGCGAAGGCTCGGGCGGGCGGCACGGCGGCGGGGCGGCGGGGACGCCGAATCACGGATCATCAGCGGCGTCTCCCGCTGGAGGAGCTACGCTAGAGGGGGTGTGGGCGGCTCTAAGTGCGGCCTATTTCCAGGACCCGTTGGTAGTCCAGGTATGTGCATGTATGTGCTCGACGGCGCACAGCAGTGTGTGTTTATGATGGGAGTCTTGGTCGTTTGGGAGTGACTTGTCAACGAGGGCGCCGCCGCCGGCATTGTGGGGGACAAACATGCTAATTACGATCGAACGCCGCATGGGTGCCGGCACCGCATGATGACGGCCGTGCTGGAATTGGACACCGGTGGCTGCCAAAACTGCGCTCTTTCCTCTTCCACCACGCCCAAAAGGGAAAACATGATCCCACCAAACTCGAACGCCGCAGGGCGTGCTGGCGTTGGACACACCGGTGGTACAGTAGTTTGGCTGCCGAAACAGCGCCGTCTGTACCTCTACCACCATACCTAGTAGAACATGATCATGATTCCTCGACATCGTTTGAAGGTAAAACATGTCGGCTCCTTCTCCACACCGGATTTCCGATTTTTTCCCTCTGGGGTTGGTGTTCTCGTTTGATACAATATACACAGCTGATTTGGATTTTGTCGTCGTCGCGTCGTACAGTTATCCAAGATGAGTCCAGCAAGGTATCAATCCTCCGGCTCGCGTCTCTCCAAAGTGTGTTTCCTTCGGGCGCTGCTACTCAAGCGTAAAACCTCACAGTCTGTCGCAGAAGCAAAGCCACGACCTGACGTGAATGCTGCTGCTGCTGCTGCTACATGCATCTGAGGTCACTGAAACAACTCTACGGAATGCGATGAAGCACCAGGCCATACGCTAATTCTCGGAGAATACAAACAGCACGTCGTAGATACCTAGCCCCTCCCGTCTCTTTTGCGCTTCCGAGTGCACTAGACGTAACCCTGCAGCGATGGTTTCGCTCCTCGAAGGGACAGGGGGTGTTGTACCGTTTCGACAACCTCTTTCGATTTTTGCAGTACAGCAGTGTATGCATACCTTTTCGTGTATGCCCACAATCCATTCTCTCTCCCCTTACGTACATGTGCGTCCTGTTCCTTCCTCCATTTCTTTGCCAGGACATCATCTCATCCCTCTCGGTCGAAAACGGTGGCGCCCCCATCAACCACTCGGCGGCAGCGGCTACAGGCCCTTCGCCCAACGGCAGCGCAGGACCGGCAGCGGCCAGTGGCGGTCAGAGCCTACCCTTCTGGGCGGCCACCAACAGCGGCGGGGGCCTCAACGGTCCGCAACGGGGCGGCGGGGGCGGCAGCGGCCCCAGCACGGGCAATGCCGGTGGCGGGAGCGCGGGCGGCGGCGGCGGCTCCTGGGCGGCGTCGACCTCGGGCGGCGGCGGCGGGAGGAGTTCCAGACAGCTAGGAGGCCGAGAATGGTGGCAGGGTGCGGCGGCAAGGTCGGGCCGTGCCCGTGCCGGTGGCTCGGGAGGCGCGGAAGCCAAGAACGTGAGCGGCTGGGAGACGCCGGTGGCCGGGGGGAGCGGCGGCGGCAGGGTGCGGAGGGCATGGTTTTGCTGCAAGGGGGCGCCGTTGGGGGCCGGGCAAGGTGCCGGACAAGACGGTGCGGCGGCCGGCGTCGTGTCGACCGTTGGTGCGGGCAAGGGTAGAGCGGAGAGCGGCGGAGCCGGACTCAAGAACCACGATGACGGCACCGCGACCGCTCGGGCTGCGGGAGACTCCCCGCGGGATGATCATGTCGCCGCTGCGAAACCCAGGGCGGCGGCGGCGGCGGCTGCCAGCAACGCCTCCGGCGGTGAGGCGAAGACGGAGAACGGTGCGGCCGATGGCGACCGCGCTCCCAACGGCGATGCCGCTGGATCCGCTGTGACTACGCTGGCGGGGAGCCCTCCCTTGGCCCCCCTGGCGCCGAAGGGTTTGCGCCCAGGAGGCGTTACTGGACCCCCGCGGCTTGGCGACGGCGGCGGCAGCGGCGGTGCCATCGTTACGCCTCCCCGGTCTGCGCCCGCCGAGGCGCCGGCGACCGTCTCTCCGGCGCCGCTTACCGAAGGCGAGGGTCCTGGCGGTACCGGCTACAAGCCGGGCGGGAGAGCAGTGGCCGGGCCGAGAAGGAACGGCTCGCCGGCGGCAGCGGCGACGGCGAGGAACGACGAGACGGGCGAACCGACGTGCAGACCGGCCTCCGAGGGCGTGCCGCGGGGCGGCGGCAGCACGAGCGGGGAAGGGAGGGCTACAACGGTGGTGGCCGCTTTCTCGCAGAATAGTTCACCGAGCTCTTCCGTCACCGCCACAGCCACCGCTGGGCAGAACACCCCCCCTGCCTGCGCCATGTTGGTGGGACCGCCGCCCGCGGACGTGGGGGCCGATGTACGCAAGCCTCCGCACGCGAACGGGAGGGAGGGCGTGGAGTCCGCTATCCTCCGTCCTGTCGCAAGCGGCCAAGGCCGGGTCGTGAGAGCGGCGCCTGCTGTCGCTTTGGTCGCCCCTGCGGCGGAGGGGGCGCCGACGAAGAGGGTCACGCCGCCGCCAAGCGGTGACGATTTGGCGAGGGGCACTGGTCGTCCGGTGTCGAGGGTCAACGAGGCAGTGGCGGGGACGCGACGACCGCCGGGGTCGAGCCCCACGGCGGAATGGGCGGCGACCCCTGCCGTCGGTGTCGTGGCGGCACCGGGGGGGTTGTTGCCAGCGGTGGGAGTAGTGAGGGCACCGTGTCCGATGCGGGCGGCGAGCGCGGTCGGCGGTCCACTGCAGGCGGTGGGTATCGTAGAGGCACCGAGGCCGTACCAAAGCCGCCGCCCCGACGTGAACATCCACCGGGGGCCCCTGCAAGCGGTGCGGCAAAAGCCTCCGGCGCGCCCGTTTTCCACGCAGGCGTCAGCGGGCGGGGTCTGCCGGCCGCGGAGCGGCGCGATCGGGCCTGGCTGGGGAGGCAGCAGCAGCAGCAACGGCCCTGGTGCTGCTGCTAGGGGCATCCAGGCAGCAGGCGGCGGCGGCGGTGGACACGGCGGGATGATCGACGAGGTGACTCTGCGGCTGGCCACGGTGTCCGAAGCGCTGACGCTGCTGGAAGACGTCGCGATCCTTCCACGACTCCGCCGCATGTCGGTCTCGGTCCAGGTGGAGGTGAATCGGAGGGCCGAGATGCGCGCCAAGGCCGACTGGGCCAACCGAGTGGAGAGGGTGAGTGCGCGACAACTGAAGGCCCGTTCGATTTTCTGTGTCTAATTGTCCGTGGCGATGCTGGGTGGCGTGTGCGGTTAGTTTTGTACACGCCGGCTAAGTGTCTCGGCCATGGCGCCACCCACCCACAGGGATTAGGTGCATGTGTGTGTTGCAGGTAGTATAGTACGTACGTACGTACGTACGCAACGCCATCGTGTTTGCCCCAGTTGAGTGCGTCGCGAAATAGTGCTTCACGCCACGCACCAGCGCCTTCGCGATAGCAACAAGGCGCAGGGCGATTGAGAAAGCTGCTGATTCTGGACAGGCGGGTTAAGCACAGCAGTAGGCTACAGAACTGGTGTTGTTTGACCTTGTATGGTACCACCGCCTCCGGCTCTGCGGCGGACGCAAGGCCAGTGGGTCTCGCGTGCGAGAGAAGAAAACAGCACGGGTAGACACACAAAAAAGTGGCACCGGCGTGACTTCCCCTAGGCGGCGTGCCCCATGCTGGTATTGCACGGGTCTGCCCGCGGTGTGTAGCACATTGTAGTGTTGCCGATCTACCCCCCCCCCTCGACGCTTTCGGTTGGCATGACCTCCGGGATGGAGTTTGCATCAGTTGCGTAACCTGCTGCTGTTGACTTGTGTTGAAGTTGCACGGGTTGCCTAACCTACGGTTGTTGCATGTTTCGCGTTTGTCTTCGGACCGTCGCGTGTGCTTGGTTATGTTTTAGGCGTGGAGATCCGGGGGTGGCACCGGTTCGGGGCTCCCGCTCGCGTTGCGCAGACCGACCCGAGGGGCGGGGCGGGGGTCGTCGTTTTCTTCGGTGCGTCGCCCCCGGGGCCGACCGAAGAAGAGCGGCAGCGTGAGCATGCCGGTTCCTCCTCCGATGGTGCACCGAAGGCCGCCATCGTTGGACGAGCACCAGCGGCTGCGGCGGCTGCGGCGGCTGCGGCGGCGGCGGCGGCTACGGGAGGAGGAGGAGGACAAGGAGGTTGGCTGCGAGGAAGAGGGGGCCCCCAGCGACGGTGGCGATGACGAGGGGCCGCCATCGGTGCGGGTGTTGAAGAGGAAACGGAAGCGGGCGCTGCGAAAGGCGGCGGACGGGTCAGGGCCGGACGCAGCGGCGGCGGCGGGGGGGGGAGAGACATCACGTGCGATGTCGTCGGAGGAAGAGGAAACAGCTGGCGGTGTTGCTCACTGTCGACCGCGGCATGGCGCGGCAGAGGAGCCCGGAAACGAGCGCAGTCACCGGTCGGCCCAACCCTCCAATGCGGCGCCTGTAGCAGCGGCAGCGGGACAGGCGGTGTCGACGAAACGGCCGGGCCGTGACGACGGGGACGTCAGCGGATGGCACAAGCCTTCTCCCAGGCCGCGGCATAGCGGCACCTGCTCGCCCCGGATGTGGTCGGCGATAAAACTCGGACGCCGTCGCCCTCGTGCCGACAGAGGCTCGGCCGAGCCGGACGGGAAGAGGCACTCCTGCCGGGAGATCGACTGCCCGCGGCGGGCGCACTTCGGGTCGCCCGGGTGGGTGCCGGCGCACTGCGAGGAGCACAGGCGGGACTGGGAGGTCCTCCTGAAGGTAAGGGTGTTGCCTTTCCTATCGAGATGCGCGTTAGGAGGAGAGAGGACGACCGCCTTCGCGAGACATGAGGAAATAGAAGCAGCGAGGGGGGGGACGCAGATCCTGTCCTTGTCCCAGCTTTTCCCCGATTGCACGCTTTGTCCAACGTGTTGCGAAAAAACCTGCGAATGCTACTGGGAGGATGTCAAGGGGTGGACTCTCGTCTCATGTAGTTATCTCAAAGCAACCGATCTTGGCTCTTAGATCTTCAGTGGGGATTCGAATGTGGGTATATCTCGAACGGGTAGTCTTTTGGTGTGTGAATTTATTTTTCCTAATCTTCGGTGGGGACCATGATGCTTCTGCCAGGAGCTGCTGGATGAAAAACGCTGGCTCGTTCTGGGCGATGTGTTTGCGGATTGGCTGGGGGTTGAGTTTTGCCTCTCTACCCTGCTGTAACTTGCCGTTTAAGTGCCTTCGTTTGCCCAAGCTTTGTGTTGTGTCGCCTCAATTCGTGGCTGTGGATCGCGTCACGGACGACACCCATGGGTTACGACCTGGGTGTTCCAGTGTAGACGGCAGTCAATGCATATTCCAGTGTACCACAATATATTTTTTTCCCGGCCGCCACCGCCACTCAAAAGCCGGCCGCTGTTGTGCGCATATTTTCACGCGCACTTTAAATATCCTTCCTCGACATCACCACCACGGCAAGATTCCCCCCCAAACAACTTTTTCAGTTGATTGAAAAACATATACCCTTCTCACAATATATTCGAGACTCTCCTGACTAATGTAAGATTCACGATTTCGAATCGATGTTGGGCAGAATTGCCGATGTTCGTTGATGGTGGTGCGGGGTCCTGATGTCCACA